CCTGCACTTCGAGCCGGAGCCCCGGCAACCCGTTAGGTTCTCCGTGACACCGTTTCGGCAAAAGATAGTAACTATACGTCGTAGTGACGTAGATACGTTTGTCTATTCCAAACAATAACAGACATTATTCGAAAACATTTCATCACGATTATATTTATAACAGTTTCAATTGCATTCTAAACTTATCCAGCGCTAGTCAAAATACGGACATAAACTTAATCTTACATAACATTAATCATATCGAAAGGGAAAGGGTCGATAGCCTATATACATAATTGAATAAATATGTATGTGTGTACGGACATCACATGACCATCCCGAAGTAGGCGATAAGATATCAGGGGTGCTGAACGTAAGGGTCAGTAGTGGGTAGTGTACTAGGAAACTCGATTGTTTAATAAAAAAGATTTCAAAGTTTTATGTGTTATAGTTTACTCAAGTTTTTGAACGAAGTAATGGCGCTAATTTCAAGCCATAATAAGGCCTCATAATTGGGATGATGACGGGGTATGAAAATTAAAAATCTAATTAGTCCGTAAGTTAGGTAATGAAATAATATTAGACACGTATTTTTTTATTTTGTCGTATAATAAAATAATACTTAAATAAAACGAATCAAAGTTTAGGAGTGGGAGCTAAGACGTTATTTCTACGTATAAAATGTACATAGAAGTGACGTCACGTGACATTTCAAATCAATATATTGTCGAAAGTATTCGTTTCTGTAAGAAAAGAAAAAATACGTGTTGATTTATGTAAAATAATCTACCAGACGGACATTAAAATAAAAATTAGGCACCTATAGGCACCCTATTATGAGTAACATTACGCGATAAACGGGGCGAATACAAATGTCTGAATGATCGCGATACTTAAACTCTGAAACAGCTGGACGTATTTATGAACGGTAGTCCTAAGTTACTGGCGGAGATATAGTAAATAAAGATTTATTTAAAACTACATTTTACATTACCTATTCCTTTTACAAAACAACATAACATAACATCACGCCTTTTTATCCCCGAAAGGGCGGGCAGAGGTGCACATTACGGCACTTAATGCCACTGTACAATGTAACACCCAATTTTCCAGACACCGTGCTACTACTGAGATAATTAACTCGTCGAGTACCGGTTTTGTAGACACAATTATAGAACAATAGGTTGCGGTCACCGGTGTCCTCGCGGTGTTTGACAGTTTAAAAACCCAGTAATATTTTGCCCGACCCGGGAATCGAACCCGAGATCCCTTGCCCGACAGTCGCACTTGCGACCTCTCGGCCAATGAGGCAGCCTATTTTACAAAACAATTTCATCAATAAATGAAGGTCGTTAAATAAAAATTTCTCTAAACGGACCAATCGTTGACCGTCCAGCCATGTCGGCTTGCGTTATCTCATAACTTACTAGATTCAGTTCAAAACTAACCGATTTACTTATTAAACGTCAATCCAGTTAGTGATAAGCGGTTAAATTAATAACTGAACTGTTTAGATGTATGTTTTTAAAAGACTTTGGAACAGAAGTAGTGTGTGTGTGAATCATGTGATGATTAGTTAGACATAATATTTTCATTTTATTGATGATAAATAAATTAACTACAATATGAAAATTATTAAGTGTCATGTGTTAAAAGTGCTCGCTTTTTAATGTCACAATAGTTTTTTTAATGGTTGTTTAAACATAGGTGACGATGCGTATGAAAAAGACATTTCTTATTTACGAGAAAGACTTTGTTAATAGTGAACATGAGCCATTGTTGCGAGATGATGATGATGATGATGACTATAACGATGGTGATAACGAAGATTGGCAAGTTATTTATCGTTTATTTAAAAAAAAAATTAAAAGCTGTAACAATATTGTTGTTCATGATCTAGTATTCACGTCTACTGACAGCGAGATTTCAACTTCAATTCCGTATTTACCTCCCGATTCCCGATCAATAATTGCATGGTTGGCGCGGTGGTTCGACATTCAACTGCCGCGCAATATGTAGCGGGTTCAGAGCAATGATATTATAAAACTAGTCATTGGTTCAGAGTAATTCTTTGTGTGATCGACTAATTGTTATTGGTCTGGATGCCATGTATATGTGAAATTCTATGTTTGTAAAACGCACCCCACGACACGACAGAAAAATAACCATAGTGTGGGGCAGTTTAAAAAAAATCCTCAAATGGTCTAAGGAACGTGATAGAAGAACATTTTCTTATGTTTCCAACTATTTTTAAATAGCCTTATGCGGGGAAAAGTTTGTTTTAATTTTTATTCAAATCTGATAGGTAGGTAGCGTATTTGTGTAGGAATGAAAGTTGTAATTTCATATTTATTTAAATGTGTACTTTAATTCATAAAAAACCGCGTAAAAAAATAGTTAAACACTATAAAAAAAATGTAAAACTAATCATGTTTTGCTTGAATGCGCGCAACTCTAAATTGCCGTAGCAATGTTGCAATATAATGCAATAAACAGCAGCAATCAGATATGAATAAGGATTTCATGGTTCCACGAGAACAGCTAGTGACTGTCCACTGCTTGAGTAACAGAAATATTAAAAACATTATATCTATGAATGGACTGTATATCCCACTTTCTACTGAGAGTTGCGCGTCGGGTTTCGCGCGTGCCTCAAATAGCCAACAGATTACCTACAGATGGGGGTGCTGCCTGAAGTGGAACCGCCGAAGACTTAGCCTCTTGAATGCATCGATAAGAGACAAAAGAAAATACATTGAATCTCGCGTGGATCCGCGTTGTAGACACACAAACGGTTAAAGGGTTCCCTGATCTCCAGGTCGAATAGCAGGAGTAGAAACTGCCGAACTGGGTGGCTTGTAGTCAGTAAGAGTCTCACGCTCTTTCTCACCTCACCCGGGCGGGAGAAGTCATTGGATAATTTTCCCCACTCAAAAAAAAACCTATAATCTCCATGCTGAACAGGCAGATAGGTAAACGCAGTTTCAAAGGGTCAGGTTTACCATAAAGCTCTGGTGCCTGGTCTCTGTCAATTGTGTAGTCTCTTTAGTCGGCTCATACAACACTCGCGGGAAGAGTACGGATGGTGATAACTGCATTCTATTGACTATGACGTCACTACACAGCTTAGTTAATATAACAATAACATGAAAATAAGTTCATCTGATAACTTATCAGGCTATATAATTTACTGCTACTCGTAAATTACAATTTAATTGTTTTATACGCTAATAGTTAGTGGTAATTATGAAATTAATTAGTTTATTGCTCGTAAGTCTTCGTTAATCGTTCGTTTTAAATTTATTTTTTTGACATATGTTGATTATGATCTTGTTCAGCCTCTTCCTCTCTCGTAGGGTCCAAATTAATAACCGATGTTGTCAATCTAAATTGTTTAAACTTTTTGAGGGGGAAAATTATCCAATGCCGTCTCCCGCCTTGGTGAGACGAGACGGAGTGTCAGAATTTACTGACTAAAAACCACCCCGTTCATACTCCTGCTCTTCGAGTCGGAGCTTCGGTAACCACCCCTATACTTATTATACTCTTTGCGGTAACCCGACTGAAATCTTTCAATTGAAATCGATTATTTGACATTAGTTCTGTCAAAAACCTACAATGATCCAAAATTGGGGTTATACTTATACGACACCCAAAGGAAGAGAAGAGGTAGTAACGTATATCTTCTCTGTCAACACCATATTTGTCTTATATCATGAATGTTTTTTGTCTCTCATTTCTGAATAAATGGTTTCCTTCATTTCTTTGTGAAGCCAAGTACTAATTATTATAATATTTTAGTTTGTTCTTTAAATAAAATATCGAATTTTATTAAGCATACATTCTCTTTAAATTACATAAAAAAAGTTTATAAAATAACTCTGTGGATTGTTTTGTCAAATGGACAAGTCTTTTGAGTTGTTTGAGCCGAGTGAATCTAAATAATAAACATCGCTTTTGTGAACATTTCATGACTTAATCGAGAAGTGATTTTAACTTGAAGAGGTACTAAAATGTGCGTTATACTTTACTTTATATAAACCACTGACGAACTATTAGAATAACTGTTTGTATGATGTATTAAAAAGGTAACTTCATATAAGTGGGATTTAAGCAGAGAGTAACCTTTATAATTTTTATTGATCAATAATTTTGCTGTCTTTAAGCTATAGTACTTGGGCTGCGAAGAACCGCAAGTGTGGGAATGCCATACTTTGGCGCGAATGGGCCGGCTCAACCGGAGTGATACCACGGCCTCACAGAAAACCGACGTGAAACAACGCTTGCGTTGTGTTTTGTTGCATTAATGGAGTTACCGGAGGCCCAATTACTCCTCCCCCTTCCCACCCCTGAAACCCCAACAATCTTCAAATTCCTAATCCCCAAAGGGCCGGTAACGCAACGCCTCTAGTGTTTCTGGTGTCCATGGGCGGCAAGGAGTTACCGTGGGTCCAACTCCAAGCCAGAGGAATAAGAGATTTGTTATCAGTAAGGGTCGTAACACTCCCTCACGCCCTGGGTTACGTTCCCGAGTCTTCGTAACCTTTTTATTTTAATTTTTTCACACCACGGTATCTAAAATGATACCATACGGCTCGCCTCATATTATACTGTTAGAAATTAGGTGTTACATTTACCGGAGTGCATCCCTGCTTACTATTGGACATTCTTAATGCTATTTTGATGTCATACGTCATGACGTATCACTACCACGTTAGCACGCTGGTTTTTAAGACGCTGTTCTCATGCAATACTAATAATCATAACTTTCTACGATTTATATGTACTTCTTAAGATTATTATTTTAGACACTGGTGACATACGGTGAAGGAAAACATCGTGAGGAAACCTGGACTTAAACTTCTAAATATAAGTCTGAAATCGCCAACCCGTCTTGATCAAGCGTGGCGATTAATGCTCAAACATTCTCTGTGTGAGAAGAGACCTTAGCTCAACAGTGGCTGGGTGTATAGGCTCTTAAGTGTAGTATTTTAACAATGTATCATTTTCTTTGTCACCAGGGTCCGGGCTAGCCTAAGCCAGCAGCAACTGAATGTGGTCCGGAGAGTGTACCAACAGGAGACTCTCAACAAGGATGCTGACTATAAACTACCCGAGAAAACATGTAAGTCCTAGTTACTTTGATACCCATAGCAGTAGTTAGGTCGCTGAAGGACACTAGAATAGAAATTGGTATTTTCTAAAGATTCAAATGAATTCTAAACCTAAAAAACACAAGAATAAAACATGGCAGTAAACACTAAAAGTATAGAGAGTGCGCCTTCTTTTGATGCAGGAGGAAGCCTTCAAAAGGTGTCTAGCTTAGGGAGATTTTTACCTCCCCAAAACTTCCTCGGTGATCACAATTAGCTCCTAAAAGGTGCATCGGGTCCTCTTAATTAGTAGATCCACGTTAAGTCATTCTCTCTACGGCATTAAATTCAACGAGGAAATGAAACTATTTCATTTTCTTCTAATAATATGTTCTAATTTATTTAGTCTGTTGAGTTACGTCAAGGAACGCGAACTTCAGCGTTTCGGTGTTTTCAAGGTTGTATCTACTGTAGGGCCTGGCTTGCGTGATTTTACAATGGTATGGCGGGTTTGTCCAAAACACATCAGCGCCACCTCAAAAAGAGTGGACCTATATTTGCGCACACACTTAAATATCGACTGCATAGTTCGCTAATCTCGGTTGAGGTTCACTATCGAAATTGAATTTGATTAGGACTAGAAGCTAGGGACACCATTATTTTATTATCTATCCTTAATGGGCCTGTCAGGAAGTGTAAAATATGCTGATATGTCAGTCAAATGCAAACTGTCAATGTAGAGTATCACACTCACCGTTAACTGAGTTCAAGTGCGATAGCATTATGTTTTTTATCTATTTTGACTGACTTCATGTTTAGGCTAATGACCAGGCAATCAGCAGTCACTCAAACTATCGCTGGTTCAATTACACAACAACTATTCGTGTGATCCACGTATTGTTTTTCAGAATGTGTTGTGTACAATGATTGATACCTTATTATAAGAACTATCGTGAGCTATACTAAATTACCTAAAAATCGCGGGTTACTCACGTGAAAATACTGAGAAAAGCTCTTCTGTATAATGGTAGTTTGCAAATCAGTAATCTCACCATGTAACAGTCTTTTAGCTCATTTAAAGTTTCATAAAAACAAACTTACTCTATCTAATAGGAGGCGGGGTGCGTGAGGCAACGAAGTGATGCCTCCTCACAGCCCAGTCGTCGCGAAGGACACACATAGACAAATAACAACAACCCTTTAACTTATTTTTATACTAACTATCGTGACCTACTGACATAAATAAATATTGATATATTGCCTGATGAATAGGCTGCGACCGCGCACGCTGCTCATGAAGATGAGTCCCTCTGTGACTCGAAACTAGTAGAGCTCTTCTCAATATATTTACCTACGTAAGTAAATCGTTATTTTTAGTTAATAGGTACTTATCTTCTTCGCAGTGGGTGAGCGAGTGAAGAAGGTGGTAAGAAACTGTGGCTTCGGGGACTGCCTCTTAAACTCCATACCTATAGTAAAATGGCTGCCCAAGTACAGCTGCCAGAACTTCATGCTGGGCGACCTGATCGCCGGCGCCACCACTGCCGTCATGCACATACCACAGGGTAAGAATTCTCTTGAACATTCTTATATATGCTCAGTAGAAAAGTCAATATGGTTTATTTCAGATTACAGATTGTTTCAACGCAAGCATTGATTAAACACAATGTTAAACTTTACGCTGTTTTTTGTTTTAACATTATACGGGGTGTCCAGTAAATAGTGCACCATTCTGTAAGGGGGAAGGAGGTGGGACTAATATCTACCTAAAAAAACCAATGTATGTTCAGCGAAACTGTACGGTTTCATAATTATACCACATTTTCGCAAATATTGAATAATCAGTACTAAAAATTTTTTTATCAATTTTATTTATTTTAACACTTTATGTACAAATGTGTATACAATGTCGGGCTTAATGCCGGATGGCATTCTCTACCAGCCAACCATAATTTAATTTTACAGCCGTACATTTTCGTTCGTGTACATATATTAGGCTAGCTTAGGTTCCATGACACTGATGCATGTCTGTTTATCCGTTTAAGCTCAAACATATTTGTACATTGTTTTTAATGATTCTTCTAAAAGATTTTAATGTTTAACTCGCAGTGATTTGAGAAGCACGAGTGTCGTTGTCGAATTAGATTGAGTATGAAACATTAATTCATAATATTTTCTTTTGGTTATTTGCAGGCATGGCCTATGCACTCCTGGCTGAAGTGCCTCCCATAGTGGGACTGTACATGGCTTTCTTCCCTGTCTTAATCTATGTGATGCTGGGCACCTCACCCCATGTGTCCATGGGTACCTTCGCTGTAGCCTGTCTTATGGCTGGAAAGGTAAGAACTGACTTTCAATTAACTACTTTCAATCAAATATTTAAAAGAAAACTACCTACTCCCGCGCAATGTGATCCGCTGCTTGGCTCCTCATAATCTTGGCATAATATTTTACAGCCTTTCTTGATAAATGGACTAACATAACATCATAACATCACGCCTTTTTATCCCCGAAGGGGTAGGCAGAGGTGCACATTACGGCACTAAATGCCACTGTACAATGTAACACCCACTTTTCACTATTTATGTTATGAGTCCCATGTCCTATTACATGAGCCTATTGCCATATACCGGGCACATTTCCGGACTCCGTGCTACTACTGAGATTTTTAAAAACCCAGTAATACTTTGCCCGACCCGGGAATCGGGCCCGGCAGTCTATAAATGGACTATCCAATACAAAAAGAATTATTGAATTCAGACCAGTACTTCCTTAGCAGCGCATTAGAAATACGTTATAGGCTGTTTATTATAAGTATAGATTAATTCCAATTCAATTTATATATATTTGCAGGTGGTAACACAATTTTCGACCCCAGAAGCAGTGATTGCGAATTCAACGAACGCTAGTATGAAAGGTGTGTACTAGGAATTTGGCAAAATTTTAGATAACGTAGCGGGCTACGCGCTACGGCGTAGCGTACTCGTAGCAAGATGAAACACGACTTTTCAAATTTTCAATGTTACTTTTGCTGTTCGAGCGAGGCCCCATTAGTGCGTTGCGCTGCGTCGATACACAACAAAGTATTGTACTCCCCACCGGGATAATGACAAGATACAAACGTAATGACTCACCGTTGACACACCGCTTCACCCTATCTCCAGCTTCGTCTCTTTACCATGCGGCATGTCATAAAAAAGTATGAAAATCGACACTGTGACGGTGCAACGGAACGCAACGGACAAATGGGGCTACGCTTTGAAACTATTTCTAACGTTTTTTATAATAGTGTACCCAAGTTTGAACTGAATAAAAAAACATACTTACCTTTTACGTAATAACTATTGTCAGACATATAATTATACTAATTGAACGGTTTACTTAAGTGAACTAATCAAGTTGGCTTCGTAACGTCACCGCTCCGAGCACGCTACTCATGAACAAGAGTCCCATTCTGACTTGGAACTAGTAGAGTTTTACTTTACTCGATTAGTTCACTTGAGTAAGCTGTTATTTTTAACATAACATGAAAAAGTCAAAGATATTTATTGCAAACAAAGTACATAATACAGGTGAAGCATACATAATAATAGTTCGCTATGTTTCGCCTGTCGACATGCAATTAAGAAATCATCACGCCTTTTATCCCCGCAGGCATAAAAGGCGTGATGGTACGCAGAGGTGCACATTACGACACTTAATGCCACTGTACAATGTAACACCCACTTTTCACTATTTATGTCATTAGTCCCATGTAATAGGGACAAATAATTAACAATTAAAATATAGACTTTTTAAAGTAATGATTAGTTTATTACATTTCAGTAATGGGTTTAGGAGCGGATGAAGATATGATGTATAGTCCACTAGAGGTCGTGAGCGTCGTTTGTCTATTGGTGGGGATATTCCAGGTAACTTGAAATTTTATTCTTTACAGATTTAGACAATTATATTTATTGATTCTATGTTTTAAGTACCCAATTGACTTGTTAATCAAGTGCTCAGAAGCATAAAGGCAGAGTAAGCAGCAGCTGTAGCCAAATGCCATTTGGCGCTTGTCTACATGTAGAATAGAAACCCAAATTATATGGGATTGACGTAAATTTTGACACTTGTCAGTGTCATCCCCATACATTTAGTTTTCTACTCTCTCTGTAGACAAGCGCTAATGTTTTTCTTTTGATGCCCAGGTCGGGAACAGGCATTGCTTTAGTATTTTAAAGATTATTTCTTTATTAAGTTTTTTATTATATAATTTGCATTTTTTTAAATGGAATAAGCCGGTTAACGAGCTGACGTATCAACTGATGGTAATGGTAAGCAATCGGCGCCGCCCATGGACACCCGAAACACCAGAGGCGTTACAAATGCGTGACCGGCCTTTTGGGAATTAGGAATTTGAGGATTGTTGAAGATTCGGGGATTGGAGAGATTGAGGTAGAACGGGTAATTGAATGTTCGGTAACCTCACTCACACGATGAAATATAACGCAAATGTAGTTGAACTTGATATTTTCTTGAACTATACAACAATAAACTGTTCTTCCCCAGGTCCTAATGTGGATGCTCCGTCTCGGCGCAGTATCTACACTGCTATCAGAGCCCTTGGTCTCAGGGTTCACGACGGCAGCCTCCTTCCACGTACTGGCCTCACAACTAAAGGACCTCTTTGGAGTGAAACTCGTCAAACTACCTCCTAATTATAAAGTTATCGCTGTACGTATTACTTAAATAATAATAATTATTCATAAGTAATACTTCTAAGGTTCATTTTTTATTTATTTTGTAATTCATGTGCTATAAACATGTACAGGAGTCGAACTAACAGCAATGTACCACGATAATCGTTTTACGAGATGACTCGACATGTTTCAAGTCACTCAGGGACCTGTAATCGTGATAAGGCATCGATCAGTTGTCTGTTGTTTTAAACAAAAAAGCATATGTCCGTTATCGATGAACTCTTACATTATTAGGAATCCCTAAGCTGAGTTACACCTAATGATATTTTGAGGAATCACCTACCTATGAGTCCCATGTAATAGGGGGTGAGCCTATTGCCATATACCGGGCACGTTTCCGAGTCTATACTACTATTTCATATAAAAGTGCACTTGCGACCACTCTGCCAACGAGGCAGTTTCGTTATTGAATTTAATATAATTGATTTTCTTTTCAGACGTTTATAGAAGTATGTAAGAATCTCCCGAACCTGAACTGGGCGGCGTTTGTGATATCTTTCATCACGTGTCTCATCATCGCACTTAACAATGAAAGACTCAAGGTAAATATCATTTTGTATTGGAGACCTTACATCATTCACCAAACACAATGTCTGACCATCTTCTGCTCGGCCATAGTATCACTCCGGTCGAGCCGACCCATTCGTGCCGAAGCATAGCTCTCCGACGTTTAACTCGATGAGTACCGTCATTATAGACACAATTAAAGAACAGGTTGCGGTCACCGGTGTCCTCGCGGTGTTTGACAGTTTAAAAACTAGCTAAGTGCAAGTCAAATTCGCGCGAAGAGTTTTGATTGAGTAGCTTCCACTTTAAAAAAACAAACCTTGCCCCTCTCTAGGATTTTCTCCTGTATCGTGTGTGCGTTTACAAACATACAAGTTCACATACACATGACACTCAAACCCAAAACAACAATTTGTGGATCACACAAATTTGATGTTCCGTGCGGGAATCGAAACCTCGACACGCTGCACGGCAGCCGGTTGACCAGCAATCGCACCAACCGTGCAATCGGTTCATCCACTCATCCGAAAAAACATTAAATGTCATAAATATTTTGATCAATGTGTTTTTTCTTTTCTTCCAGCCCTGGGTAAGCAAAAGATCCCGTGTGCCAGTTCCTATAGAGTTGTTGGCCATTGTGATCGGTACACTAGCCTCAAGGTTCGGACATCTTCATGAGACCTACGGCATCAGTCTCGTTGGAAACATACCTACTGGGTGAGTCCTTGTAAAAATATCATTATCATTTATAGACCGAAAAAATCTAGGACTAGAAAAAATAGTACTGTTACATGACATTTTTTTTTATATATATATATATATATATATATAATATATTGTAGTATTTATGCAGTAGGTATAAGTATTTGTTTAGTAGTATGTATTATATGGTATGTATATGTCCTATACTGATTTATAAAATATTGTATTAATATATTTATTCTATAGGTTATTTATGTGTGTAGTATACATATTACATAACTCTTTTTTATTTTCTCAATTGTGTTCTGGCTTCGCATCAACCACTTCATTTCTCTGCACTTCCCTATGGTTGACTGTAAGAGAATGCCTTAAGGCATTAAGTCCGCCATTCACTTATGAATTTGTGAAGAAGAAAATAAATAAATAAATAAATAAATTTGTTTTTTTTATGAAATAAGCCGGTAAACGAGCAGACGGGTCCCCTGATGGTAAGCTATCGGCGTCGGCCTTTTGGGGATTAGTAATTTCAGGATTATTGGGGATCAGGGTTTGGGGAGATTGGGGAGGGCGATAATTGGACCTCCGGTAACTCACTCACACGACGAAACACAACGCAAGCGTTGTTTCACGTCGGTTTTTGGTGAGGCCGTGGTATTAATCCGGTCGAGCCGGTCCATTCGTGCCGAAGCATGACTCATGAAAACAAGATACATAGATGAAATTTTAATGAATCCAATTTTCACCAATAATGTTATGAGTATCGGCAATAGCCAAATGTCTTACGATTATACTATTTAAACTTTACGAAGAATCATTCAAAAGCCGAAAAAAGGACCAAACACGAACTTTAAACTTTTTTGCTAGGCCCAAGTTCCAAGTCCCACGGGGGCTCTTTTTCAATTAATTTTCAATGATATATCATATTTTCAGCCTGCCCACTCCAACAGTGCCCCCTCTAGAACTTATGCCGGACATTGCCATCGACTGCTTTACAATCACCATGGTTACCTACACCATTTCCATGTCGATGGCTCTCATCTTCGCCTCCAAGGACAAATATGAAGTAGATGCTAACCAAGAATTATTGGCGCTGGTAAGTTAACATCAGATTTTAAATGTAACAGTCTTTTTTAAAATGGAATGCTGGGTGACTAGTGTGAAAATTATGTGATAATGTTGCCATTTCTTTCTGTTTTTAATTGTAATTTTTGGATTTTTTGTTGTACAGTCTCTTTTTTGTGCCTTTGGCTTAATTAATTCTATCTCCCGCAGTAATTTATCGGGGAAAGTAGAAACTATCGTTGTTTTCCTCTCCTCTTGTAATATCTTCTGATTCACTTTGTTGCGGGAACCAAGACAGTTATTCATGTCCCTGGGACGCGCCGGACTTTAGTTTTCCGATGTTTTCATGGTTGTATCTACTGTAGATCCTGGCTTACAGGAGTTGCAGCGGCTTTGGGAGGTTGTGGCGGGCTAGTCCCAAAAAAAAATCTTTTTTAAGCTTTTATTTTATTGTTCAACAATATAAAATACGATTTTTCTTCTACAGGGTGCCAGCAACATGTTTGCCTCCTTCTTCTGTTGTTCACCATTCTGCGCTAGTCTGTCAAGATCCTACATTCAATATCAGGTAATGCTTTTCTCCACCGTGAAAAGAAAAAAAGAATTTGTAATTATAGTACCTAAGTAAATTGATAGCGATTACTATTCAATGAAATTCTATATTATTATCTTTATTTAAGTCTATCTTTGTTTTCTCGTTTCTCTTTTTGCGCTATTCCTTAAGCAAATTGCAGTATTTGCACAATTGTTGTATAATTTCTAGAAGGAAAAACAAATCTGTTTGATTATAATCTAAATACAAATCAACATAATTACTCGAAAACAAAATGAGAAACGCTTATAAGCATAACATTGCAACTGGGTACTTGCCAACTAGTTAAATTCCATCCTTTTTTCGAACCGTCAAAAACGACAGTTTTCTATGATTTTTTTACGAGATTGTGTATTGTGACGTCACGTCTTTTAGCGTCAAACAGCATACTTATTTCTTAATAAATTGCTGGAAAAATACTAAAATTAATTTGGTCATAAAATCAATGTGATTATTGTTTAATATTTTATTGTATTGATCAGTCGAAGTAATTTATTTTTGATTAAGGAAGGTAACCAATTGTTTCGAATATTTATCTAGATTGTCATCATCATATCAGCCACATGCCGTCCACTATTGAACAAAAGCTTTCCTTCAACTTCATAATAATTAAATAAGGGACTTCTAAAATGTCTGATAATTTCCAGGCGGGTGGCAAAACAGGTATAACCTCAATAGTGAGTGCTACGCTGATCCTGTTCGTGTTGCTATGGATCGGTCCATTCTTCGAGCAGTTGCCGCGCTGTGTGCTCGCCTCCATCATCGTCGTCTCACTCAAGGGCATGTTCATGCAGATATTTGAGCTTAAGAAGTAAGTACATCATACATAACATCGCGCCTTTTATCCCCGAAGGAGTAGACAGAGGTGCACATTGTAGCACTTAATGCCACTGTACAATGTAACACCCACTTTTCACTATTTATGTTATGAGTCCCATGTAATAGGGGGTGAGCGTATGGCCATATACCGGGCACAATTCCAGACTCCGTGTTACGATCGAGATTTTTATTTAAAACCCAGTAGTACTTTGTCCGACCCCGGAATGGAAACCGAGACCCCTTTGCCCGGCAATCGCACGTTGCGACCACTCTACCAATGAGGCATTATAAAAAATATTATATTTACTTTAAATTCCCCAATTAAAGTTAAATATTTAAATCTTTCTAAAACATCAAAAATTTAATCTAGAAGGAAAGACAGAAAAATCTAAAAAGCTATTTATTATACCTACATTAAGGACGTTGAACAAAAGGCGGACATAGTCTCTTAAAGTAACGACTGTGGCACCTGGCTACTATAGACTTACACGCAGAATACACACACATTGACACTAAGGACATCTGTCACGTGAGATTGCCCGTCATTACACTTCATACATTACGATGTTGCACGTACACGCACACATAGATACACCACTGACATTTTGGTGCTTCAATCATTTCTAAGTGACATTACGTAGGCTTGTTTTCAACGTCTTTGACCTACATATAAACTGTTATAAATCAACCTCTTGAATAGGGATGATGACAGGGTATGAAAATTAAAAATCTAATCAGTCCGTCAGTTAGGTAATGAAAAATATTAGACACCTATTTTTTATTTTGTTGTTTGATAAAATGATACTTAGATAAAACGAATCAAAGTTTAGGAGTGGAGGCTAAAACGTAATTTCTACGTAGAAAATGTGCATAGAAGTGACGTCATGCGTCATTTCTAATCAATATATCTTAAAAAACTGCATAAAAATTCGTTGCTTACTTTTAAAGACCTATATAAGCATACATAAAGATAGACAGCGAAAAGCATCTATGTTTTATCTGATGTAGTAATTTTGTCCTTGATAAAATTATCTGATCATCATCAATCATCAGCAGCCATATAAATGCCCACTGCTGAGCAAAGCCTCTTCTCACACGGAGAAGGTTTGAGCATTAATCACCACGCTCGCTCAATGCGGGTTGGCGATTACAAACTTATAATTAGAAATTATAAGCCCAGGTTTCCTCATGATGTTTTCCTTCACCGTTTGTCAGTGGTGTCTAGATAATTTTAGAAAGTACATATAATTTGGAAAAAGTCACATTGATACTTGCCGTTGGTAGGTTTCGAACCTGCACCCTCATGCATGAGAAGCGGGTTTCTTAAACCTCCTGGCCACCACGACTTTTTTTTATCTATTTAAAGTTAAATAAAATTATCGATTAAACTGTCAAACACCGCGCGGTCACCGGTGACCGCAACCTATTGTTCTATAATTGTGTCTATAATGACGGTACTCGACGAGTTAACACATATTTATTTATTTCCAGGTTCTGGATTCTAAGTAAGCTGGACGCTGTGGTGTGGTTAGTGACATTCCTGGTCACCTTGTGTATCAACATCGATATTGGGTGTGTATAACTAAATACCTATTATTAGCAAAACTTAGCCGTCCGTGCGTCACTGCAGGGGTGCCAACTGAAAACCAGTATTGGGTAATTACTGTGCCCAGCTTACACTGAGTTGGCGAGCCCTTTCGTCGTGGACATGCTGCCACCCTGTTTCTTTTAATTGTTTTTTTACGTTTTTTTTTGCCTTCATTGTTTTTTTTACTGCTGTTTTTTTTGTTATTTTATTTCCTTATTGTTTTCTTTTTTTATTTTTTTAATGTTTATTTTGTGTGGTAATATTCGGTGGTCCATGTCTGGTGGCGAATAAATTATTTTTCTTTCTTTCTTATGGGCATAATGTAATGCCCGAATATTGAAAGGCCACTCAACTTTAAGTCGCGCTTAATATATAGTTCGTATAGTTCTGTCACTACAAATTCTTTGTAAAGTGACAGAGATGGCACGATACTTAAGTACTACTTAGAATACGGTAGTTGACAGGTAGTCAAATTCAATACTTTTATTGAAATGTCAAAAACTATACTTTTCTATGAATTTTGTATTGGATCGCAACTTATGACGTCATCATATTTCTGCGTCAAATAGCATACTTATTTCTTTAAAATTAGCGAGAAAAAATCCAAAAGTGGGTAATTTGTCAAATCAATGGATGAGCATATGATTATTTTTTAATTATTTATTGCATTGAAAAGTTGAAACAATTTATTTTAAACCTAGGAAACTAACCAATTGTAGCCTTTCAGTATTCGGGTGTTAGCATTGGGAACAGCCTTTGATCCAAACTTCACAGATTGAAAACAAATAGATGGCATGCTGTGACGTCACATGTACTTTCTCTCTTTTCTCTTATATGTTAAAGTCAAAACTGATTTTAAGTCAGTATTTTGAACGAAACGAGTCCTTACAATCTTCTTTATTTTCCATCTTCCAAAATACAAAAACTATAGTAACGTTAAAATGACAGAATTTAACTTACTAATCTTCTTTTCAGTCTGGGAGCTGGTCTCCTCGCCAGTTTGGGAGCTCTATTCATACGTTCGCAGAACCCATACACCTGTCTTCTAGGAAAAGTGCTGGACACAGACTTGTACCTTGATATCAAGAGATACAGAGCGGTAAGTACCACTCAAATCCCCAATCTCTCCAATGGTCCACAACGCACTTTTTAAATGGGACAAGCCCACCACAACCTCCCAAAACCGCTGCAACTCCTACAAGCCAAGATTAAAAGTAGTTATAATTACAAAAACACCGGAACACTGAAGACCGGCACGTCTCAGGTAAATGAATCACTGTCTCTGATCCCGCAACGAAATAAATCACAAGATATATAGACAAGAATAAAAAAACAATAGTTTCCACAATACTACAACGCACTTATAATAGGGCACATATATTAGTCCGACAGTTAAATAATGAAAAAATACTAGACACGTGTTTTTTTTTTATTTTGTTGTATAAGGAAACAATACTTAGATAAAACGGAGATACGTTTAGAAATGGGAGGTCTTTACGTCACGCTACCCTTAAAAATGTATTAAATCGTGACGTCACACGATATTTGAAATCAATTTAATGTCGTCGAAAATATTTAATTTAGAAAGAAAAGAAAAAAAAATACGTGTCTAATGTTTTAAAATAATCTACCAGACGGACATTAAAATAAAATTTAAGATAATACCCTAGTGCTCTAGTGTTGTCGCGGAGAACCTAACGGGTTACCGGGGCTCCGGCTCGACGTGCAGGAGAAGGAACGGGGTGGTTTTTAGTCAGTAAGAGTCTGACACTCCCTCCCGCCTCACCCAGGCGGGAGCAGTCATTCGATGATTTTCCCCCCTTAAAAAAAAGTCCTCTGGTATTGCGTATGTCCATGGCCGGCGCCGATTTCTTTACCATCACACTTGATGATCAGACTTCGTTTGCTGCCCTACCATATAAAAAAAAAATTTCGTAAAATGTTTTCGACAAGAAAATGTAGAAATTAATATGACTCTCGATGGAACAAATTTCAAGAATAATACTATTTTTATTATACATTAACATTTTCGTCTGTCTTTATCTGTAGCAGACACTATAATAGCTAGTGGAGAATTTTGTGTTTCAACTTAGAATCAAATAAGAATCCTTTTCTGATCATTTGATCAGCGAAATAGATCCGTAAAATCTAGGTACTACTAAAAGCAATAAAACAAAACATTTTAGACGGCAGTACTATTTTATTTATGAACAACAGGACTTCAAATATAGATAAAATCGTTAGTCAGTTTGAGTTCGGTACAGACCCAGTAGTAAAAGTACATGGAAATCATGGTGCTAGATTATGAGGTCTTAGACTTCAATTCACGCTTGGCAACATTCCTCGACTGACGAAATCGATTTCATTATCGTTGTAAATGTTTAAAATCAATAATTGGGCAACACACATCACTGAAAGGTACATGAAAGTAAAGATAATCCACTTTAGGAAGTCGAAAAGTCCGATTTCATAGTTGGATGAGTAAGCGTATGTTTTGTCTGAAATGAGACGCATTTTAGTAAGCCCTTCTCATGTGAGGGCTGTGGGCGCACTTCAACATTTTATTTATTGATTTTCTCGGTGATATTTTCAAATGAGTCGGTGGACTTTTCTATTCGGCTCCGTCATTTTTCTCTATTAAAGTGACGCGTTTGACGCGACGTTTGATTTTCTTTTTTTTTTGACATTCATTTATGGGATAGTTTTTTAGTTTTGTACGGAGGTCTAATGCCAATGAAATATTGTTACAACCTTTTTTTCTATAATTCTTCCAAATGTTCTTTTTCACAGCTTTATCTTTTTACATTCAGTCAGTTTAAAACTAAAATATTCTCTTTTGGCAATTAACTTCTATCTCTATTTGTTCTATTATAGGCGGAAGAACTCCCCGGCATCAAAATCTTCCACTACTGCGGTGGATTAAACTTCGCTACGAAGAATTTGTTCCAAAAGAAGCTGTTCCTCAAAATTGGCTACATGAAGCCCGCGGAGGTGGCTCACGATGAGGACAACAACCTCACCAAGAGCGAGTCTTACGAGTGGGATCCTAATCTTAGTCATAGGGTAAGTTGTCCATTATTTATTTTCTTATAGTGTTTTATACCATATTTTTCTCCTGGACTTCTCCAAGCAAGTTGGGGTCGATGTTGAGTATTAACCGGGTTGGACTGACAATAAAATAATGTAATCTACTTAAGTTGTATTATACACATAGATCATTGTAATTTAAAAACTATATGACTTAATTTTTTTTATTCTGACTTGACTGATGATGACTTAGATTATTGTTATAACTCTTGTAACCGAGTGTTCTTTAGACGTCGATTTCAGGGACTGCCTGTATATATTTCTCTTGTGTCATTTACTTAGTAACATTAACATTATTTTCTTTCCAGGTGCAATGTGTGATAATAGATGTAACGGCTTTGTCTTACGTGGACGGACCTGGCATCAAGAGTCTAGTGGCGGCGCAAAAAGAATTGGTTACCAACAACATCACTGTTCTACTCGCAGGAGCTAACGGTAAATAATCCATAATAGTCTAGTTTTTTACTTATTAATAAGGTTAAGTGACAGCTGTCAAATTTGGCGCCATTTTTGTGTAGATGTTTATTGTCAATGGTATTTTTTTTAATTGAGAGCAAAAACTTGGATTTCTTAAATATGCTACGCTAGACGTGCTTAAATATCTGAATTTAATAAAAATTAATTATTTAAAATGTATTTATTACTTCTAATTATTTTTCGACAGTCATCCGTAAAATTAAGTTAGGTGACCATAAACAATAATGATAATTTTCTCTCTACAGGTCCAGTATTAGAAATGATAGACAGGTACAACTCAATAGAAACTGACATACTACAGATGGAGACGTTCCCAACAGTGCATGACGCAGTGTTATTCTACAAATATCTAGAATCTAAGAAACAAGTCACCGTCACCGTCACCACGTGAGGCTGAAAAACCTTCCCTTAGGGAATAAAGTAGTCAAATGTATACAAAAAAACCAATGACATAGACATTCAGTAATTTGACATTGACATTTAAATTATTTTGACAGTTGACAGATGTCAGATTACTGAGTGTAATGTTAAGAGTTGAATTATAGTGATTATATAGGTTGTATAATAGCGCAAGTGAAATAGGTCAATCACGTTCTTCTCCCTTTTTATTTTTTAAATTACCCTGGAATTTTCTTTGTGATTTTTTTCTGTAAAGTGCACATTTTTTATACCTAACTTATAGTCTGTATTGTAAGAATAAGTTATGGTTATGGCTAGGCAGAATGGGAAAAGAGATTGAATTATTTGAATCGCAAAAAGTCTTCAAAAATATTTGCAACTGAATTTCCGAATAATTGTCACAAATCACATCGTAATATTCTACAATTAACAACATGACGAGGAAGTAAAAAAATAATTAAAAAAAAACTGTTCTTTTAATGAGATCTGTGCCATTCTGCCAAGATCCCTTTCATATTTTTACACCTGATAACGCCATTTTTTATCTCGGTCCTTGTAAATCTCCTAGAATACCTAGTTCCTATTGTAAATCCATTTATGAATAAGTAAAGTGCAGTAAGAAATATACAGGGTAAATATAAAAATAAAATATAATGAATACTAGTAATTATGAAACTTTTTACACGCTTATTATGGAACTACTTAATTATGTAATAATTTTGTTAAAAAACAATTGTTTTGAAATGTAAACTGAATTGGGGTTATTTATATTTTTAATAATAAATATGGTGTACTTTAGAAGTGAAGCCATTAATGGGGGTTATATATATATATTAAAATGTAAAAAGAAATAATGGAAAATCATTGATGAGGGTTTATAGGTAAACAAAAAAATGGTCAAGATCAAGAACGATGTAAAACATTTGGGAAAAAACCATGTATAAAATAACTTTTGAACTTCTTAAATGGCAAATGAATAAAGAATTTGAATTTTATTAAGATGGCATTTCATCAATGATTAGTTAAATTGTATAAACATTATAAGAACGATCAACTAAAGCTGCCTACGGACTTTTTGTAGTCCCGTTAAATGTCCACTAACAAATATATAGAGGTATATATAGGAAGCTAGTACTTAAAGTGCTAATAAAATGTAAGGGAGTGTTTGTTTCATAATGCCTAATTGAGTTTTTAGCTTAACTGCAACTATGCAGTTTTTACGGAACTGTAAGAAATACCACACAACAAAATTGTGTGGTATTTCTGAACCTATACGACCTTCAAACCTCGAACGTTTTCATTGGGTACTTGCCAACTAGTCAAATTCAATACTTTTTTCGATTTGTCAATTTTGTACGAGATTGTGTATTGTGACGTCACGTATTTACAGCGTCAAACAGCATGCTTATTTTTTAAAAATTTGCTAGAAAAATACCAAAAGTGAGTTGGTCATCAAACCAATTAATGAAAGTGTGATTATTTTTTTAAATTTTATTCTCAAAGTCAAAGTCAAAATCATTTATTTCAATTAGACCAGGAAGACACTTTTGAACGTCAAAACAAAATATTTAAATATTGAATAATAAGAAAAAATGTCAGTCTGTAGGTCGGTCCTCTAGTGAAGCTATTTGCTTGTTCCAAAGTGTAGATATTCCTATGGAGAAGGACGAGCAAGAAACTCCATAGGTTACTTTTTTTCAATCATGTTCACAATACAATTTTTGGTTTCATTCTTTCGTTGTTTTGTATTGAACAGTCGAAATAATTTAGTTTTGATTAAGGAAAGTACCCAATTCTTGCAACGCACCTCAGTCCTCTAGTGTGGCCAGCGCTGATCGCTTACCATTAGGTCAGATCCATCTGCTAATTTGCCCTTGTTATATAAAATAAATATATTTTTACTTACGGTTTATTATGGGATACGCTAGATATATTTTAGCTAACGGGTCACCTAAGTAAGCAATCGGCGCCGGAGTCACAAGTGAATGGAGGCGTACGTTTTTTTGCTCATTAAGTGGTACAAATTTAAGAATGGGTTTTTTGTTCAATCACAGCTGCTGTCAAATATTGAATGCCCAATGGGGTGACGCTAGTCAATTCCCTATCAGACGAACAACGAGAGGTTCAACTAGCTATCGGGTGAGCAAAAAGACGATAGGCCCCATTGTTTGCCTTTTGAGGTGAGGAATTTGAAAATAGGGGTTTGGGGATTGGGGAGATTATGGATAAGTAAACAGTGAAATAATTCGTCGGTTATCCTTAATCAGACGTTGTGAAATAAATGTATGAATATTGTGTTATAATCAAACTGTGCTGTTATTATTATTATTATTGTACAATATCTAGTGTCATAGATTATTACTTAAAAATCTGTACTTATGTTAGTATGATTATTTATTGTTATCGTTTTGTCGTAAGCTTTTTCTGTGAAGTTTGCGGTGGCATCAGACGGATTGCATTGCGGCTACAGTTGGCACATTCAACCACATGTAATTTATACCGTCTGCACAGTTAAATATGAATATAAAGATTGATTGAGTACAGAGACAATGACCATTGTTTGGCTACTGAAACGAGTAATGGTTGCGGAAGATATGGCTTCATTAAAATCCATATATAAATTAGTATAACAATAGCTGCCTCTGTTCTGAATCAATCTTTATTTCCATACATGAATACCCATATAACTGTGTGTATCACTTCGTTTCGTTGTACAAAATGTTCACTGTTGACTGCACAATTAACACGGTGCCGCGGTGGCTAGGTTAGCTACTTCGAAACGTGTCGTGGGGTGGACCCCACTCCCACTCGATACATTAATGGTTCCAGGTCTGGGTGTTATATATGTATGTAGTCAATGTCAAAATCATTTGTTTTAATTAGACCAGAAAGGCACTTTACAACGTCAACAAAAAAATTTAAATGTCAAGCTATTTGTTCAATCCAAAGTGTTGATTCCTATGGAGAAGAATGAGCAAGAAACTCTATAGGTTACTCTTTTTGTTTTCTTTGCGTTTTCTTTTTATTTTTTTGTAAAGTTAAATGTCTGGTAATACATTCACGACAGTAGATAGACGACAGAAGATAACAATACCCTACCTACAGTCGGGTAAAAATATCGACTGCGCACAGTTGCTACTATGCAATCCGTCTGATGGTTTCATCAATATAATAAAAATGTTTAATATGAATGGAATAGTAAGTTATGAAGTATATTTTTTAATCATCGCTTATTTGTACGTGCCTAGTAAAATGCAGAATATATACGTAATTTTAGTAAAAGCAATATCTAGTACTTAAATGTTTTGTAAAAACAAATCGAATATAGGTAAATGTTATATGAACATATTGTTATATTAAACTTAAATAAAACACTGCCTTGTTCCTTGTTCATTGAATAATTGTGCTTTTGGGTTCGATCCCCGGACAAAGCTAGATAATATTTTCCTTGTCCCTGCCGCATTTTCTGGAAACCGGGATCCACGAAAATGCTGGCGGTATCAAATACGTTTCCTACACTTTTATATAATGATCGAAGGACATACTAAACTAATTGAAAATAACGGCTTACTCACATGAACTGATGACGTCACCACCTCGTGCACGCTGCTCAAGAACAAGAGTCCCGTTCTGACTTGTAATTAGTTGAGCTTTACTCGATTAGTTGGCGTGAGTAAGCTGTTATTTGCAATTAATTTAGGTACTTCCCTACATGGTCCATAACGTAATTTTGATGTCTCTGGTGTTGCGGGTGTACTTAGGTTACGGTGTCTGCTTACAGTGTGGCGGGCCGTAAGCTTGTGTCTCTCATTAAGCATCCCCCATCCAATTATGTAGTAATTCTATAAAAAAAAATGTGTACAGAACAGCGGGTAAACCTACACCAAACTGACAATTTTTATTGCATTTTCGACTGTATTACAAAGTCATAAAATTGAAAATCCAATAAACTTAAAAAGGAGTAGCTTTAACTGCAGTGCTGGCTACTGCAGGTAGATACTTTATATACATATATATGTGCCTTACCGACGAACTCAGAGTCATTTAATGGCTACTTAAACTGTCAAACACCAAGCGGTCACCGGTGACCGCAACCTATTGTTCTATAATTGTGTCTATAATGACGGTACTCGACGAGTTAACCCAGTCTTTACCTATAGGGTAGTATCCTAAATTTTATTTTAATGTCCGTCTGCTAGATTTATTTAAAACATTAAACATGTAATTTTTCTTTTTTCACAATATTAAATACTTTCAACGATATATTAATTTGATACATAGTGTGACGTCACAACGTACAATAAAATGTAGCACGTTGTGACGTCACGACGTCCCACTCCAAAACTTAACGCCATTTTATTTGTATTTTTAACTTTATCCGAGAACTGAACTTTATATGAGAAAATACTTGTCTAATATGTTTTTCATTATCTAACTGACGGATTAACTCATCGAGTACCGGTTTTGCAGACACAATTATAGAACAATAGGTTGCGGTCACCGGTGACCGCTTGGTATTTGACAGTTTAATTAGATTATCAATTTTCATACCCTGGCAACTACCTAATTCTTTTCGGAACAACGTTACTTAAAGGTATTGTTTAAGTAATCGTTAAATGTGATACCACGGTCTTTTGAAGAATATAAGGCGTTATGATGACGTATAGACCAACAAAGAAGTAATTATAAAATATTAAGATAAGATATTAATATCGCTTAATACAAATATTAGCCGAGATGTAAGCAGTTTGTCAGAAAATGTATTTATTTTGAAATCTGTTGTGATATTTAGTACCTAATGTTATTGTACAGAATGTACTTAGAATGTATAAAATAAATATATGGAATATATTATTTTACATTTTGTTTCATTCTACACTAGTTATATGTCGCGGAGAACCTAACGGGTAACCGGGGCTCCGGCTCGAGGTGCAGGAGAAGGAACGGGGTGGTTTTTAGTCAGAAAGAGTCTGACACTCCCTCCCGCCTCACCCAGGCGGGAGCAGACATTCGATGATTTTCCCCCCTTAAAAAAAATAATAAAAAAAAACACTAGTTATATAACACTTTATATCGATTGTTTATTGGTCCCTGTAAAATGTATACAGGGTGGAATTTTGTTATGCCTCCTGAAGGGAGAGTACTCTTAGAATTTTAGATAGAACATTTTACTCAAAGAAAACATTACTTTATTTCTGAAAAGAAAGAAAACGGCGTTCAAAGATTTTTATTTTTTTTAAATTCGCTAGCCGCACACGTACCGACTATAATCTATAAAAGTTGCATCCTGTACTTTTATTGCATCGATCGTTAGGGTCAAGAAGGATAAAATTTCTTTAACTAACTTCACATTAAAATGGAATGGAAAGAAAACAATGAAATCTTAAATTATCAATTCAATGGTAGACCCAATGGTTAAAGCACATTTTTAAAAAGTACTAAGAGTTTACTCTTCAGGTGCATTTAAAAAATTCCACCCTGTATACATATATATATATATAAAAGAAAGTCGAGTTAGTTACACGATTTATAACTCAAGAATTGGTAGAGATGTAGCTTAGAACCAGGAGGACCAGGACATATATCCTTTTTATCCATTTTTATTTTTATTTTTTCCGAAAATCACGAATGGAAACGGGAAAATCGGGGTTACGCGTACGAAATCACGTGCAGAAGCTAGTATCAGATAATAATTTAATTCAGTCGTCAGATCAAAAGGACAAAAAATGAATAAAAGTGATCAAAGGCGATAAACTCGCCGCGCTCACTATTCGTGAAAAATCTTGAGAAACAATTTATAAACCTAGGTATATTAATTCTAACCCTTGGAACACGATTGTTCCAAAAGAGAACATCTGTATAATAATATATAGATAATAAAGATGTTAAAAATATAAATTTGTCTTTTTACGAATCTCCTTCACAACAACCTTTGTGGTCAATGTAGCGAAACTAAATCAAAACTTAACAAATAGGTAGGTACATACGTACATAGACGTACAGCTGATTACTGGCTTAAACTAATTGGGCATATCGTGCATGGTTCAGTTGTATTCGGATATCGTTAACTGATATGAAATAGTAATTAATTTAACGATAAACAACAATTTTTCTTGTAGGTAGGTGTCACGGTAAATAACCTAAGTACAAAATTTACATTAACATAAAAGCAACCTAATAAAAACAGACGAACAATAGTTCCTACAGTCAGGTAAAAACGCGTTCTACACGAGATCACAGAAATTTTTTCAAATATCTGATATTTGAAAAAAATACTCGTGCTCCATCGTCGGCCACATCATCGCTTACCACCAGATGGCGGGAAAACATTAACCTATCAGAGGCCTTA